AAAGTTACTGTTTTACTGAAACTGTAATGCATGAATTCTCCTATGTGCTTCTGTTAGACATTGACAAGGAAAATTATTATGTTTGTTTTATTATTTAATTATTTATATATTCTGAAATATGGTACATATTAAAAATAAGGCCATTAAAGAAAAAATAGATGTCTTTGAATATTAAGAAAAAATGAATTTGTGGTGAATTATATCTACTTTTTTGGCAAGGTAAGGAAGGAGGCATTGATTACTTTTTTCAATGTGATCTAATTAGAAATGTAACAAATTGGCACAGAACACATATGTTATAGAGTGTCATGCAGCCACTCAAAATGATATAAAATTCTGCATAATCAAGCACAGCACATTTCAAGGAACATTTTAATGAGTTTCCAGTACATGAATGGTATCCATACTTATAGACATTCAAAGATATCATTAGTTACAAAAGTATTATGACAAAATCTATCAAATTTTTTAGTATATATAGATTCTACCAAAAATTGGACAATATTTTAGTTACAATTAAGCAGAAAACTAATTTGTAAAAATATGATGTGGGTACTCACAATGAGCTGGGAAAATGCATGGATTGTATATTACCGTTACCATTGATGCCGGCATTGATAAGAGTTCTTGTTTTCTCAGCTGTTTTACATATTGTCTTTTTCTTTGCAATAGGGATGTGTTAAATTCAGACATTTTAATATGCCTTATCTTGGTTTCAAAATACAAATGTGGTTATCTTATTAAGTACATACATTACAACAAGGTTACGCTATACAGAGTGAATGGAATTCGAAACAGAATTTATTATGTTTTATTCCTTGCACTGAAAACATTGACATGCCGACATCAGTGAAAATACCTAAATAGTTCTGGTCTGTGTTTATAATTAAAAAATATGGATTGAACATGTGTATCGAACATCTATCGACCATATAAGATTAAATTGGTACACAATTAGAACTAGTATTGGTTACATATAGCAAACATTTTTGACAAATAGAATAGGTTCCACTAAGTTAACATTATTTATACCTTTTTTGGCAATATTTCTGAGTTTTGCATTGCTTATACCTAATTATAGGCAATACATCAATTTGTTCATACCTATTTATTGGCATTTGTTCATACCAATTTACTAGCATTATGTCTGCATTCAAATTGTTTGTACCTATTTTATAGGCAGTTCATATATTTATTGGCATTTGTTCATGCGTATTAGCTGGCAACATATGAGTTCAAATTGTTTTTACTTTTAATGGGCCATATATATGAATTCATGTTTTATATATATATATATATATATATATATATATATATATATATATATATATATATATATATATAGAGAGAGAGAGAGAGAGAGAGAGAGAGAGAGACAGAGAGACAGAGAGAGACAGAGACAGAGATGGCCAATACACCTTTCTTTTGAACTTACTTTCAGATCAAGGTAGAACTTTAACTTTACATTACATAAATTGAAAAAAAATTAAAAATTATTGTTTGCTGTCATTGTTTCTATTTCATTGTCTGTTTGCTTTAGTTTTGTGGAATTTATTGCCATTTTTCAGCCTGTGTTAGGCTAAATATCAGTAATAATTATTTAACAATACATGTATTAAACCATGATAGAAAACCATCAACAAAAAAACATTTTTATACAACATGACTGCAAATCTGGCCTATAATGGAAATGTAATGTTAAAACTAAAGCTAGTAACTAACATGCTGTTGGGATGACCCTCACACACCCCACACATATATTCACCACACAACGGATAAGCATTAAAAATGGAGTATACCAAATGGAGCTTAAATCCATTATATATTAAATTTGCTGCCATTTTTAAATAAAACCACCATCCTTTCCTTCCATGTAATCCCTACAACCCTAGCAAACATTGTAATGCATGGAGTAAAAATAGATAAAAGACTGATGGAAAGAAGAACAGGAAATTGAACTAAATTTTTATAACCTTTGTAAGCCCTGTATGAAACCCAAGATTTTTAAGAAAGTTTGACAATCCTGAATTTAAGATTCTTACTAAGCGTTGCTATGCATATCACTAGCACAGAGTTGTATTTCAAAAATATTCCCTATAAAGTCAGGCAAATTGGCATTCCCTATAAAGTCAGGCAAATTGGCATTCTTCAGTTGTTTTGTGTTACAGATTTTATGATTGTGCTTGCTTAAACTGGCCGACCTTGGCTTACCCAGTGCATGAAATGAATCGACTGTTGTTGAGACCAAAGTCAGTTGCTATATGGTTAAGTGCTGAAGCGATAATATGTCTTGTGATGTTGCAACATTTTTCTGTTCCAGTTTTGAAAAGGGCAGTGCCAATGTCAGTTCATGTTTTTTTTACTCTTTGGAAAGAGGATACCTTAAACCTAGCCAAATGAAAGTGTATTTTCAGTATGAGGTATCGTAGAAAGTTTTATTTTAATAAATCACTATCGAAAATGTAATTGCAAATATATTAATGTACTCTGTTCAAGTTTGAAAATCACAGTGCTAAATTTGAGATGTAATATGATGATTGAAATGTGCCCTATGAAAAGTCAGGATGGAGAGAAGAAAATGGTTCTACATTGGGGTTTTATGTAATCATTGTGACTGTGGCAATTTTAAAAACAGCAAGTGATGACATACACAAACATAGGTAGATGGAAGAACAGATACAATGAGTGTTTTTAACTTGTTAAGAAAATATTTCTTTCTCACTACCTGTACAAATGCAGTGACTCTCACCACCCTAGATTTTAGTGCACTGTCTGACCTTATCCATAGCTACTTCATTTCATGAGTCATGCATGTTTAGATCAATGTTTTGTGGGGGGGTCAAATGCACAAAAAAGAAAGACAGACAGAGATAGGGAAGTAAAAGAGTTTAAGAATTTTAGCCCTAAACCAGTTAACAAACACTTTTATTAAATCAACGTTTCTTTGATAATCCCAACTAATTCCAACATCAAAAAGTGACAAAAAGGTCTAGAAGCCCTATGGCTTTACAAGAAAATTAACATTACATGGGAATTTACATTACACTTTAGCTATAATGTGTGGGTCTCAATAGCCTCTATCCAGAAATGTAATATTAAACCACACTCTATTCAACTTAAAAATGAAAAGACAGGATAGAGGGAAGAATGAATACATACACTTAACAACTGGGAACCTGCTTACTTTTTACAAGCAAAAGATGCATCTTTTATAAATCTTGCATTGTTTGACCTGGGATGAGGTCTTAGATTTCTTGTTATCCTAAAGCTAATATTCTCACTAAAAGTTGCTATGTATTCTGCTAGATTTTGTACACTGACTGACTGTTGCAACCCCAAAAGACTTAATAGTCTGCATTGTAGGGGAAAAAATGCATCACACTTTATTAAAGTTCACCGAGTGTCTTTTTCTATATTTTTGTGAATTTTCTGTTGGTAAAAATGAAGAGATTTTGTTCAGGTTTAAAAAAGGCAGGTCTAATGTCATTTTGTTTCCTGACACATGAAACTTTGGATGTAATGTGTTTGTGCGCTAAACCCAAAAGTATTCAGAGAGAAAGTAACAGGTTTCTGAAGCTAAAAATTTAGTGAGAGGTTTTGTGATTGGGGTTGGAGGTAAACTACAAAACTAAAGTATGGGTAAGTTGGACATCCTTCTGGGAGTGGTTATATTTGTTTAAGAAATAATAATTTTAAATTTGATCTCTCTCTCTCTCTCTCTCTCTCTCTCTCTCTCTCTCTCTCTCTCTCTCTCTCTCTCTCTCTCTCTCTCTCTCTCTCTCTCTCTCTCTCTCTCTCTCATTGTAGGTATGAACATCTCTTATTACTTGAATAACTTGGACATATTAATTGGTACAAGGCAGTTTCACATAATGTTGTCAAGTCCATAATTTTTTTATACACAATGATGTCAGGTCTATAATTTCTTTACCCAAATGTCAAATTTCATATTTTTTTTTACACCTAATGTTGTCAGGTCCATATTTTTTTACAAAACACAGATGATTACTTTTAGTGTTCCAATACCTATTGTTCATAATTATTGCTATCTTTATAGTGTTTCAATGCCTATTGCTCATAATTATCTCAATCTTTAGAGTGTTCCAATGCCTGTTGTTAATAATTATCTCTATCTTTAGTGTTCCAATTCCTATTCTTCATAATTATCCATACCTTTATAGTGTTTCACCTATTGTTCATAATTATCTCTATCTTTAAAGTGTTCCAATGCCTATTGTTCATAATTATCTCTATCTTTAAAGTGTTCCAATGCCTATTCATAGTTATCTCTATAGTGTTCCAATACCTTTTGTTCATAATTGTCTGTCTTTAGAGTGTTCCAATGTCTATTGTTCATAATTATCTCTATCTTTAAAGTGTTCCAATGCCTATTGTTCATAATTATCTCTATCTTTAAAGTGTTCCACCTATTGTTCATAATTATCTCTCTCTTTAAAGTGTTCCAATGCATATTCATAGTTATCTCTATAGTGTTCGAATGTCTATTGTTCATAATTGTCTGTCTTTAGAGTGTTCCAATGCCTATTGTTCATAATTATCTCTATCTTTATAGTGTTCCACCTATTGTTCATAATTATCTCTATCTTTAAAGTGTTCCAATGCATATTCATAGTTATCTCTATAGTGTTCGAATGTCTATTGTTCATAATTGTCTGTCTTTAGAGTGTTCCAATGCCTATTGTTCATAATTATCTCTATCTTTATAGTGTTCCACCTATTGTTCATAATTATCTCTATCTTTAAAGTGTTCCAATGCATATTCATAGTTATCTCTATAGTGTTCCAATGTCTATTGTTCATAATTGTCTGTCTTTAGAGTGTTCCACTGTCTATTGTTCATAATTATCTTTGTCTTTAAAGTGTTCCAGTGCCTATTGTTCAAAATTGTCTGTCTTTAGAGTGTTCCAATGTCTATTGTTCATAATTATCTTTGTCTTTAGAGTGTTCCAGTGGCTATTCTTGTTCATAACTATCTAACCGCTCCGGTGGCCTAGTGGTGAGAACGTCAGCCTCGGATGTTGGGGGTCGTGGGTTCGATCTTCGGTCGAGTCATACCAAAGTCTTACAAAAATGGTATTAACAGCTACCTCGCTTGGCGCTCAGCATTAAGTGGCTAGTGTTAGGACTGGTTGGCCTGGTGTCAGGATAATGTGACTGGGTTGGACGTCATGCTATATGTCTGCGGTATGATGCCCCAGTGCTAGACATCACTATAAACTGCCACACTGCAGACATCGTAGCGATATGACTGAAACTTGGATAAAGCTACGTTAAAAATCATGATCATAATCACATAATTATCTGTCTTTATAATGCTCCAATGCCTATTCATAATTGTCCATATCTTTATAGTGTTCCAATACCTATGTATATCTTTAGAGTATTAAAATGCCTTTTGTTCATAAATATGTCCCAGACTTTTTTCCAACCGTCGACTAACCATTTGATGATCTGACATGCATACAGCTTTGTAAGCATTCAATGTATCGACATGAAATCTTGATCTTGACCATCTTTAAATACATATGTTCTATTTGCTAACCTTTGCAGTATCCAGTTTACAGAATGGAATCATGACACTATATACAAATAGGATTGGGGTAAGTATTGCAGTACTTTTGTATGAAATTAGGAAGTTGAAGGACAGTAGGACTGCTTACACACTCTTCCCACAAACATGAGGAGTAAGAGGCTTACGTTTCTTCACTAAATTGTGTGCTAATGCAAGAGGAAAAAAGTCATTTGAACATAAAAAGAAAAACAGGAACTTGGTTTGTTTAAATGTTAGTTTGTTGATCCATGAAAGAAAGAAAACAAGACCTTTGTTTATTAAAAAGTGAATTTGTTGCGTGATGAAAAACCACTATCTTTTGTTTTGTTGAATGTAAATTGAAATAAAAGATTGATCTTTTTAAAGCATGAATTTGTTATTTTATGAAGCACATTGTTTTAGGAAACTGGCTTGTACTGTTACAGTAGCAAATGTTTTAGTGAAGAAACTGGCTTGTACAGTTGCAGTAGCAAATGTTTTAGTGAAGAAACTGACTTGGTGTTGAAATTGCACACACTTTAGTGAACAACTGACTTTTAAATTTAAAATATCACAAAGTTTAGTGAGAAAAAAAAGACTGCCTTTTGCTGTTATAGTAAAACACACTTTAGCAAAGAAAAACTAAATTTTGTTTTTGCGATATACAATTTTTGAAGCAACTATTGTGGCAACACATTTGATTGTGGAAAAAACAAGCTTTTGCAGTTGCACATAATTTAATTAATGTTGCTGTAGCACCTATTTTAGTAAAGAAACCATTCTAGTGGTGTTGTACCACTCTGGTGGACTATTGGTTATAGTGTCCGCCTCGGATACGCGAGGTCGCAGATTCGAACCCCGACCGAGTCATACCAAAGACATAAAATTGGTACTAAGTGCTGCCTCGCTAGGCGCTCAGGATTAAGAGTTTAGTGTTAAGACTGGTTGGCCTGGTATCAGGATAATACGAATGGGTGGGATATCATGCTACATGTCTGCGACGTAATACCCCATTGCTTAATATCACTATAATCTGACACATTGCGGACTTCGTACCGATATCACTGGAAAATTGTGAAAGCTATGTTAAAAATCCAAATCTTACACACACACACACACACACACACACTTCTAGTGTTCAACAAGCATACAATATTTAATGGCCTTTACTGTTACAGTAGCGCATGATCTAGTTGTTTGGTATATTAAATTTTGCTCAATAATTGATTTCTTGCGTCGGATTGCTTTAGTAGTTGTTAGTGAGAAGTTTGTAAAGGCGAAATTCTAATCCCCTTTCTCTCCATACACGCACGTGTTAGGCTTCATGCGGGATTTATAAAGAATATGATAGAAAGATTAGTATGTTACCAATTATTAAGTGTGTGTCTTTGTTCTTCTTTCCGTCCAATCTTTTATTTATTTATTTTTTTTCATTCAGTTTTTTTTTTTTTTTTTTTTGTAATATTGCTAGTGTCGTAGTGACTGTATTGCTGGTAAAAGAATGGTAGTTTTAAATTTCAAAGAGGATGCGATGAAATTTATAGTGTTTAGAAATTTGACTTTATTTATAAGGGAGCTTCAACCACGTATTTTAAATCCTACCATGTGTGTTAAATAGATGAGTGAATAATGGTCTCTCCTAATGGCGTGTTAGGTGTTGTTTTAACGTTGCATTTCCGTTAGAGACCAGCACGTTAAAACTTGTGACATAATATTAATTCCTGTTAGATGCCATAGTGTCCCATTTTTTAAACAGAAATTATAGGGTCAATGTTAAATTCCAGTTAGACGCCATTGTGCCATCAACATGTAAAATTCTCAATTGACGTCATCTCCATATTAAATCCCATTTCGGATTCAGCGCGGCATATTCTAGTCTCAACTAGATAAAGGAAAACATGTGAGTTGAATGGTGAATGAGGGTGTTGATAGAACACAACTGTGTTTAGTAGATCAGTTGGTACTGGTCAGCCAAAATGTATGTTAAAGCTGTGGAGCTTTTTACGTTTCCAGTTAAAGACCATAAAACTCCACAGGGCTAAGCCACAAGGCGCTACGCGAAGTGGACAGGCCTGTGAGAGAGCCTTAGAAAAACCCATGTGTAGTCATGGACAAACACAACAAACATACGAGGAGAAGATACCAATACAAGTCCCTTCTTAAAACCCCCTTCTTTTCATCTTTCTTCTCGATCCTCCCCAATTTAGACCAAAAAAAATCTTGGATCTTTTTATAGAATATGTAAATCGTGTGGCATTTAAATGTAAGGAGGAGCAGAAAATAAAGAAAGCTTCTCCATACATGATGCAAAATCTCAGTGTTATAGTAACTAATATATATATATATATATATATATATATATATATATATATATATATATATATATATATATATATATATATATATATATATATATACAGAGAGAGAGAGAGAGAGACGCCACACCAAATGCTCACATAAAAACAATAGGTTTATTTAAGTTTTACTTTATTTAGAAACACCGTCTCTCTTTCAATGAATACAATATTCAAAATTTAATTTAGCTAATAAATTTTAAATAAATAAATAAATTTGTATACCTTAGAATGGAAAACGGGGGGAAATTGAACCCGATTTAAATGCCGTCCTTACATGATACCTATAGCACTCAGAACAATATAGTATACTGCATATAGCAAACACAATACCTTTGGCAAAGGTCACACATGGAAACACTAGGTGAAGGAATCCGAGAAAATAATTGAAATTTTTATATGAGGAATATACCTATAGAAACCCTAGGGAACAAGAAATACTCCATCAAAAATTGAAATAATTTTTTAAAAATATTCTAAATTCTATTATAAAAACTTACATTACAACACACCCTTGGGGGAAACAAAAACAAAATAATTTTAAGGGTTTTTATTTACTACTGTTTGATGTCTCCCTTCCCCCCCCAAAAAAAAGAACTCTACAATGTATTTCCAGTTAGAAACCATATTACCGTTCCCTTTAAGACCCATAGTACTGTTAAATCTATGTGTTTTCTCGTAATATAACACTTTTCGTTTTGCCCAATATATTTTTAACTGTTAAATTCCCATTATGCCGAATAATGTAATTCCCTTATTGAATTCCCCATATGCCCCATGATACCATTTCCATGTTGAATTCATATGCCCCATAATTCCAAGACTATTTTTAACAAATGATTCCCTCTGCCAATATTAACTCACAAAGATCTCGGCCTGATTATCATTTCCCATTTGAAGCTGTACTCCGCATGCTTCTTTTTTTAAAATATGAAATACTTTTCTCATTGTATTAGTGTTCTTTGATCGATTTAAAATTCGACTTCTTTTTCATTTATAATAATAATAATAATAATAATAATAATAATAATAATAATAATAATAATAATAATAATCATCATCATCATCATCATCATCATCATCATCATCATCATCATCATCATCATCATCATCATAATAATAAACATCAGTAATTATTTGCTATTAAATTTAACTCGTGTTAACTGAAAATAAAATTGAATGTGTAGAAATGTTGGGTACGAAACATCCCAATGATAAAATGACGTATGCATCCCGCTGGATTCCCTCTTCCCCTCCAAAAAAGATGTGAACTGATAAACTTATAGTCTTTTAATGAGACCAGGCCTTTGGGTCTTTATATCATTTCTGTAACATAATGGCAATTAAATGATGAAGTAGCCTGTGTAACACTTGGGAAAACATTTTTGTCTTACTGCAAGTTAAAATCACGGCATTTTTATGGTTGTTGGCGTTATAATAATAATAATATAATAATAATAATAATAATAATAATAATAATAATAATAATAATAATAATAATAATAATAATAATAATAATATTATTATTATTATTATTATTATTATTATTATTATTATTATTATTATTATTATTATTATTATTATTATTATTATTATTATTATTATTATTATTATTATATACCACTTCAGACTAAAACAATGCATTGGCTGGAACAGTCTGATTTTATTAACAACGTTGTTTCACAACAGTTATGTGAAAATATCTCTTTGACAACGCACAAAAGTTATTACTAAAGATGAAAACAATATTAAGGTTTACTGAATGCTTTACCCTATCTTTGTCCGAAAACAATACGACCGATTGCGCAATACCTATTGGCATTACCGGATTTGGACAAAGTGAGGCTCTAAGCTACGAAAAGCTATAGAGGCCATATTTGGTATAAAATAAATTTGAGGGGCCTTTTCAGACTGAGTTCAGACTTTAAAGCCCTAAGCTGTAGTTTGTTTAGCTTATGCCTAAATCCGGTACTGCTTATTGGGTATATGACGTCGTACAGTATTTATAGCTGGTTGAACAACCCTATAACTTTGAAATACATTTTTCTAACTGCGAGAGGCAATATTTTGCGATTCTGAAGGATTCAGATATGAAAGAAGGATGTAGTCAGTGAAGGAAATAGATTTTAACTCTTACAAATACGATTCGGTGTAACTAACCGTACCTT